TTTCACGTATATTTTTAGTTTTATTTTTCGAGTTTGCTACCTAACAATTTTGCTGTAACTTTTAACAACCTGATTGATTTGAATAGTAATTTGAGACACGTAACATATTATTCTAAAAAAGTATACTTCTCTGATAATTACGATATGCAAAGTTTAATTATGTATAGACTTTGATTCTGAATGAAAAATTATTGTAATGAAGTAAAATATGCTATGGCAGAATAAATTTGTAATTTTTTGCCAAATTCTACTTCAATAAAAAATGTTATCAAAGGACCCTTTCTATTCTAACATTTATGAGTGTTTACCGCATTTCTGTTTGTACTTTCGCGAGTCCATTGTGAGGGGAAGCTTTGTGGTGTCAATTTGTCCCAAGCTCTTCTACCCCGAGTTCGAGACGCGCTCAACACTCTCGCCCCAGCCGTTCTTGGTTCGTCAGATACCTACAGACGAGTGAGGATGTGCGAGCTCCGAGTTCCTGCGAAATTTCGTTCTACGTTTTCAATAGTGCAATAGCATAATAAAAATCTTGGAAAAAGTGTCAGTGAAGGTTTCGTTTGTACATGGCGAACGACGTAATGCAGGATAAGTAAAGGTGAGAAATATTTTAGAAAAGCTACTAATCATTCCCGGTTGAATCATCTGTGCTTGTCAAAACGTTCGTTACAAGTAGGTAATTCAAATTTATCATTCAAGACAATGATTGTGCAGCGTATTTGTGGCATGTTATAAATTCTCTACATAATTAGGTCTTTGATTTTGAATGTTTAGTGCGTCTGAAATTAGGTGTCATTCAGCAGTTGTGAATGAGTCGGTTAGGGTGCTGGCATGCGGCTAGCCTAGCCTGCTGTGAGCTGTCTCACTCGCTCGCTAAGGTTGAGAGAACCGCGTGGCCTAATTTTTATTCATATATGACGTTATAAGAATGTTATTGTAGGATAATTTATTTTATGGTACGGATGACTTGTTCTTTGTTGTGACTTGTGAAATATTACGCCATGGCCATCGTGTGCGTAGGCCTAGGCGATCGATGCAGCATTTAGAATTGACCTAACTGGGCTGATCTTGTTCTGGCTTTAGTTAAGCCCTTGATAAAACTTCAGTTGTCACTGCTGACACTGCACTCAAATTGATACCATTTAATGCAAACAATAAACTTCAAATGAATATGAAATGCATTTTTTCTTATGCATGCAAATGATGCAATTAGTACTGATGCAGACTGCAGCAGAGTAGCCTAATCAGATCTTGATTGCATCATTTAAAATTTTATAATGGCTTGTTAATTCCGTGGTTCCACCCGACAAAATGCAGCTCCAAGTTTATGTCCATTATTTTAGAATATCTACAAAAAAAGGGAAGTTAAAACTTGAAACATGAATGCCATGAATTATTATAACACAAGCACCAATTGATGGAAACTTGAAAGTTGAACTTGTTTAACTTTTTAATAGGTAACACTTGAATGACTCGATTGCATTAGATTTACTTTAATTCATGTAGGCATAAGTTTATCTGTTTTAATATTTTTCACCATTTTGTAACCCGATTATATTAATGCCATGCATTAATAACCACGTAAAAACTTTCAAATAGTTCAAGAAGTCAGATTTCATTTTCAATTCATTTTCATGCAGCCGAAGCAGAAAAATCTGCTGGCCCATTCACATTCAGAAATAGAGCTTTTTTGCCATCAGATACTTGTCACATGAATTGTTTTGTACCTAATTTTTAATGAAATTGATTTTAAATGTGATTGATTGAAACTGAAAAATTGGACAAAAGCTGCCTGTTTATTAAATGAAAACTCCAGACAATGTGGACAATTTTAACTGTTCCCACGGCCCTTGCCCAATTTTTTGTAAAAATTAAGCCTTCTTCTTAAAGTTCTTCTGTAAAAAGTTTTTTACCAAAGATTTAAAAAAATACCCATTGAAATGACTTTGTACTAATTCACTTGCCAAATTCCACCATGTAAAACATGATCAAGCCAGTGTGTAATTTCAACAATTCTGGTTTTTATGGTGAAGATTGATCCAGTCATGTAGCCTGTTCTGCTCCAAATTATCAGCTGAGTTGTAAATAGAAAGCCTTATTTTATGTTTTTTTTCATTACAATATAAGCAAGCATACCTATACTCGTAAATTCCATTTGTGATGTATGGGTATTTATCAAATTCAATTGGTTCAAGCCTATAATTTGCATTACTCCTGTTTTTTTTTTATGAAAATCAAAATTCTTCTACACATGAAAGTGCAGGAAGTCTTGGGTATTTTGCACCATTTAGATTGCCTCAAATTCACAGTATCATAAGGGACATTTTTTGTCCGGTTGGAAGTGATACTTGAGTAAGAAGTATTTTATAGCCATTCATGCACTATTAATTCAGGATATTGTTGTGAGAGGTGTAATCTGTGTGTGACATCAAATGCTTTAATTGTATTAGGACAAGAGCATGTAGATGAAATGTATCAGAAGCTTAATGCTTAATGGGTTTTTGTATCTAAAAGCTTAATGGCTTCAATATCAAATCACTTGAGCATTCTGATTTCCATTTACACATCATTTTCTGAACCTGAGCTTTACTGGCAATAATTATTATAATATTTATATATTAAAATATATAATTTAATAACTTTGTTTATTAATAAGCAGTATTTTTTGTCAGATTATTGACAATATTATACAATTTGATTGCACTGTCATTACTTTTAGTTTAATCTTTATTTTTATGTACATGAACTATCCATGTTGTGGAGGCTAACTGGCTTGTCATGGTGTCCAAAGAGCCTTGTTAAGTTAGTGAACAAAATTTCTAATCATTAAACACTTTTAATCATGATGCTATTACCTCCACAAAATTTGGCTTATCTTAATTTTTCAACTTAATGACCAAACTGAATGTATGAGATCAAAAATCAAACTTGTGCTCTCTGCTCATGATGTGGATATGGAAGTATGTGGACGACATGACACATGCATTTTCTGAGTATGTTGTTTTGCAAGTGTTTCACTACTTGGACGACATGACACATTCGTTTTCTGAGTAGGTTAGGTTAGGGCGCTACTTGCCCCGACGAGTCTTGACGCGAGTGACGGCTGACGCTCGCTCAGAGTCTTCGCGTTTGCGTCGTAGTGCCTTTGATTTTCCTCTTGCTATGTAAAGCTCGATGGATGAATGAACATTTTTAAATTGTTTCTTCTACGAAGTATTAATACGCAGCCTGTTTTGATTGGGTATTAAAATCACTTGGCTGCTTAAGTCGCAAATTCACCAGGAATTTAAAAGTAAAGAAAATAGACAAAAAGTTCACCATTTCTTATAAGAGAAAACGTTATCTCTTATAAGAAATGGTGAACTTTTTGGCTATTTTCTTTACTTTTAAATTTCTGCTGTTTTGATTGTGTATAGAAATGCACTGGGACGAGTTGACATTAGCAGTTTCTTTGTTACGTGATTATTTATCTATTCATGATGACTTTTCATATAGTCTCGTTAATGAGATCATAATGAATTAATGAAATTATAAATTTTTATTAATATGAATAGTATGATTGATTAGAAAGCTTATATTTTGTCATCAAATGATTCTATAATTTACCAAATATTTCGTGGATACTTAGATGTTCGAACGCAATTTTGATGCTAGCGCATTTGCTTATCGTTAGTACATATCAGAGTTGATCGTCGCGCGCGTTGCTATGCTTATCCATTCACTGGTGAGAAGCGCCCACCACCGTATCATGGAGATAAAATAACATAATTTCATAATTATGAGACCATCGTTGGGATTCTGAACTAACAATATCAATAATAACTCGATTTTAGGACTATTATTAACTCGATTTTGGGACTATTATTATATATGTCACGTTTGTGTGCATTAGATTGTCAATTTTACGCTTTCCCGAATGCATTGCCTCCAAAACTAATAAAATCTCACGTTGGTAGGTTTGTTTAATGGAGATGCACATGGTATGTGCCCCCCATTTTCCCCGTGATAAATGACAGCGTCTATAGTTCTCAAAGGTGTTCGGTTTAGCTCAATTTTATCAGTTTTTAAACGAAACATCGCAAATGGATTAGTCACATTATTAAACGAAATGCCACAAAGCTTTTACTAACCGTGATACAGAGTTTCTAAAACAGCGATAATTTTCTGTATGCACTCATGATAACATCTTTTTAAATACCGAAGAATGTGATTCGAAGTTACGTTATACATTTATTTATTAATGACTGCAGTGAGGATAATTCTAACAACAGTTTTAGTAATTCTCGTGATATTTATACGTTCCCTTTTTTGATAGAAGCAAAGAGTTCAAATGAGGAAACTCCACGTTTATATATTATCACTGCGTAGATACGCCTAATCTTCTCGAGGCAGCTCGAATTGGTTTCACATCGATGTCATGCTGGTCATAAATTTTACCAGGCTTTTACTGTCACTCGGCTCTTGACTCACGAGTCGTGAAATTGTTAGCTCGTACTAATATCATTCGAAATTATTGCATTAAAGTTCCATTAATAATACATTTTGTCCACTTTTTATTGCGTGCTGTAGTTTCGATGTTAATCCATTTATCCCGTAGAGACCATATGTACAGGTTTTGAACACTACCCGTCAATCCCTGTATTGGAACTCTAAACTGTAATTCACTCCCTTCTGGTTAATTAAAGGTGAAGGATTACTGGTCATTCATGTTATATTTTAGCAGATTGCGAGTAAAATTATTTTTAATTTACGCGACCTGCGAGTTGATACATCATGCAACTTAGTACAATTAATGTGATGATTTAATATAACAATATTTGCGAGAATGATATAAAGTCTCATTACAACTGTAATCGACTAGGAATTATTAGACAATTATTGCCCAGATTCACTACTGAAGCCGCATTTATACCGTATAATCTCAGAGGGTTACGTTTGTTAGAAAAAAAGCTCACATGCCCTCGGAATTCTTGCACTGCACATAACCTTATGCAAGCGACGCCTACTTCTTAGTTCTTACATGCGTCCATTTAGCGCCTTAAAGTTATAAACGCATGTGCACGCGTCCAGTTATCGCCGTATACGCTTGGAAATGTTTATTTAGCGGCGTATACACATGTAAACACGTCTCATTAGCGGCGTATGCGTCTAAGAGTTAAGAAGTGATTGATTTATTGTGTCAGCTATGTAGGATCTGCTGGTGAAACGGTCAAGTTCCATATAGTTCCATATATATAGTGACTAATGTCACTACGTATATCGTACATGGCAGAAGTTTCCAACACGGACTGATTAAATCCCTTAGAACACAATGAATTATTGAAGGTTATAATTTCTTAAAACATTTTATTTTAGCCATGCATATAACAGTCAAACGTTTGTGACAGTGATAAATATAGTGATTATTGCAGAGAGGTAAATTGGGCACATGGGTTTGTGTCTCGCTGCCCTGTGGTAAAATCAGATCCGTACTCCAATGCGTTTGTTTCTTCTATTGTTATTATTTGTACCTATGTTTAATGATAATTATTTTCCGAATTAAAAGTTCTCTAAATTTCATCTAGCTGATGTTTGAGGAATTGTTTGTGGTTACGCGAG